GACATCAACGCCCATAGGGTGGAGAGGTAGTTTCTCCCATAGCGCTGTGCGTGGCGCTTCGAGAATTCCACGTTTGCGGTGCTATAGTGGGTCCCTTTTTGATAGCATGTATCTTTGCGTCCAAGATTTGGGCGTTTAGGCGATGCGTACAATAAAAAGTTAATGTAGTGAAGTGCTGCATGAGTGAGGTGAAAGTGATACTTATGTGGTTTTGATAAAAGGTGTTCCAAACAATTTTCTACGTCATGTTTCATTACGAAAGTGTAATCGGACTCCAAGTTTTCGTTTTGCGGCTGATGAAGTAGATGAACGCCACAACTTTTTCCGGCAAGGTACCAAGTAGGATAAAATCACTCGACCTAACTCTTAGAACGGGTAAAATGACCAATATCAACTTTCAGCTTGTTTCTCGATTTCTAGTTAATAGAACGGCTTGATTTGAGCCCCACAATCTGCACAATAGAAACATTCATAACATACCGCAATTTCAACGAGATCGGTCAAGAGCTTTTCTTGTTGCAAAGTTTTCTGTTAACTAAAAAATTAAAGTGTTTTGCCTGTGAACTCATCGTATGAGTTTCAGTCACTTAAGAAAATAAAAGCGTTGTAACCTGTTCATTTGCACATCAAAGGACCGTTAAAACGCAAAGATCGGTGGAGAAGATGCATTAATTCGCACTTTGGCACAAGTGACAATTCAAAAATCGAGCTTTTTTGCTTATATCTCAGCCGTCCTTAAAACGTTTTCAAAATTCAAACACCAAACGATACTCCGGGACCAAACGCATCTCTAATGCGTCGTTTTTGGTTGCGACAAGACATTTTTCGCAAAAAATTAGAAAAGGCAAAATTTACAATGAATATTATTGTTTCCAAATTTAGGCGTTCCTTTTGTCACATTTTGAGTATCTTTTCATCAATCGACTTCTCTGTTCGAGATCTCTTTTTTCGCCGAAGCAAATCGGACTGTAATCAATATTCCAAATTGTACTTGGTGCAAAATAAGAATTCTAAAAGCCTCACAAAATCGCCTTAAAAGTACCCGAAATATTAAGTGTATCATAGAACAAGGGGATGTGCCCTATGTACCCCAGAGGGAAAACAAGCTGTGCAAGAACTCACAGCTCGATCTGTAGGATGCATAATTTCAATTTCACTTTGTCTCTGTTCGCAAAATTTACCATATTCAACACCCTGTAACACCCAAACTAAAAACAATATCACCAAACAGGCAACGTTATTTGGACTGTGCATCTTGTTCGGCAAATATATGTAAGTTTGGTGACGCTAGGTTGCTCATGAGTGATGTGGTGATTTTTTGGAGCGGGTGATTTGATCTTACCCGGTTCCGGACTAGGATACAATCACCCGTTTTTAGGATGTTATCACACCACTTCATTCAGTTTCCATTCTTCAAAGCGCACCGGGCCTGGTACCGATAGACTGTACCACTGTGCACTGGTGCATTCTCTCCCACAGGAGTGCGGCGAGCGTTCCTCAAAACGCGCCATCACTATTACGGATAGGCTGTGCCGCAATGCAGCAGTGCCTTGCGGCGCGGCCGCCACCACACCATGTGATGATTTGGGATTTAGAGCACTAATTGCTCTGTGCATTCATGCATAGCGCACAAAGTTTCCCAAATAAAACTTTATAACGTGGATTAACCCTCAAGCCGACCCTCTCTACCTACCACTAGCACATTATTACCGATTCCAACAGCACTTTTCCACCGATCGTAAGAGTTAACAACTACACGCAGACGGACTGGCGCAACTGCTGCTGCCAAAGGGCGCGGATACCGGAGCTGGAGCACCGTCACGTGCCGTAGCGCCCTCAATCGCCGAATTGTGACTGTCGGCCTCATCCTCCAACCAAACCACTCACGGCTTGTGATGCTGCCGGGGTCTGTGATCGCCAGAACCCCAAGTCTGACCAAATATGATGTTAGGCTATGACGTGCCCTAGCCACTTGGAACGGAAAAGGCTCTTGGGTCCTTCCGCTGTCGTACCGAGGAACATCCGCCGACGAGGGTACACGCCATCTGCACACTTACGGGCTAACGAATGTAGCCATGTGCCTAACGAGGCACATCCACGCTCTGGTAGCTGTAATACGCCCACTTTCGCAAGCCCGAGAAGGAGGCGACTGTTTGATGAAAGCACGCTTCAACTGAATGGCTTATGTCGGACTGAGCATCGTCGTTCTGTCAAGCTATACTCCGAAGAATGATCGACTTCAATTACATCTTAAATAAAACAATGTCAATGGCAGCTTGTGAAGTCCGAGGGCGGTAAGCGACCATGACAGACTATGGATGTTCGTTGTTGACCACGGCAGCCCCGGAAGTTGATGTTCAAGAGTGAGGTCATGGGTCGAGCGAGTCCTGAATTGGAATGTGATCACATTTTCAGCTTGAATAACCCGGCCAGGCCAGGCCCGTCATGCCGCTTTTTACGCCTTTAGCGGAATTACATTTTTGGCAATACTTATGCAGATTGAGGCAGTCTTCGGTAAAAGCAGCTTGATTCCCTTAAAATGCATCTGTGCTTTTTCAAAGCGCGGGCATGCAAGCTGTTGAAATGAAACCTACCTTCCGTGGAATGTTTATTTGCATCTCGCGTGTGCTAGGAAACGTAAATCTGACTCCGTTTTCGACCACCTGTAATCACAGCAAGGCGAAATATCCACAGCTAGACCGAGAGAAGCGTTGGCACTCGCGTTTTTCACGAATGTGCATCGCTGCCTGCAGCGGGTCACGTGTGCTCGAGTGCAAACCATAAACTCACCACGTTTGAGGGAGGGCGGTGCGCTGTTTCCAGGACGAACATCAGACCTCGACACCCAGACGAGGTCTAATTAGAAACCAAACAACGCACCGCAGGCGGATGCACCATCTAAAAATCTCTCCCCGCCTCAAAGAGGAACTCGTGAAGGACCAGACTGCGGCTGTAGTGAAACTGAGATGTGAAGTTCAAATCATTTCTGTTGTTTAGCTTCATCGTATCTCATCATTGATACACTGTTAAATCCACCGGGCTGTTTGTTTAATACCAGTGTGTACATGGATTTGCTCAAGTTTTAAGCACATGCATCGCACATGGCGCCTTTCACGACAGTTTTTTTATTTTTCCGATAACTAAATCAATCGAGGTTGGTCACTCGGACGCTGCACAACTATGTTTGACTACTTGAAGGGATTGCTGAAATAAGCATTCGCTTAGAAGGGCGAAAGATCGAGAGAGGGATAGAGAGAGAGAGAGAGAGAGAGAGAGAGAGAGAGAGAGAGAGAGAGAGAGAGAGAGAGAGAGAGAGAGAGAGAGAGAGAGAGAGAGAGAGAGAGAGATGGAGGGAGAGAAAAAAAGAGAGAGAAAAAGTGAGGGACTTGCCACGGATACAGCGAGCTGGCTGCCAAGCTGAACGTCATTAAGAGCAGCGTCTTACATGGAACATTTGCCTCGGGTCCAGTGTGTTTGAGTTACGGCCACGCATGACGTAAATACGGCACTAACGTGGGAGCGATAGAATTCACTGGGGGCACGCTACTCATCGTATAGGCACAAGTGTCCGTGTCTGTGCGCGACAGACCTCTCACAGTCCAGAGCAAAATGTGCATAACGCCGTTTGTTTTAGCTGTCTCGTAGCCAAAACGGAAGTTTTCAGCCCACTGGACTTTTCGGATTCTAACAACACGCCAGAGAATAGTGACATCTTTCTGAGGCGAAAATAAAAGCAAGCTGTAGTGTAGTAATAACAAGTCTGAATGACGACTGTTTTGCATGGAATATACCCCAGACTGGCCTGTCGCTCCAAGCAAAGCTCATGTCTGCTAACTCCGGCATCATGCTGCCATGATATGACGATGCCGTCATATATAAGATTGGGGCTCTTGCGAATTGACGCTGAGATTAAGCTGGCATTTGGGCGAAATCACCAATGGCGTTGGTGTGTCCAGAGTCTGTGAAAACCTTGCACAAGACATACAATTTCGGATAGCCCCGTAAAAATGGTGTCAGGGGAGATCCGACAGCAGTGCACGCCATTGGTTTCCGTCCCCAGCGACCTTTAATCTACCCCACGCTCGCGCAACAGAACATCTAAGGGGGGCTAACGGGCTCACGACCCAGCCACTAGAAAGGCAAAAGGCACAACTGTCCCCTTAGTGCGTAGTTTGCGAATAACTGCCTACCATATGGCTCTGGCATCAGTATAGCGGGCTTGATCTTCTAGATTTGTTATAATATCCGTCCTTGGGACGAAGCACCTTCTTGGGATAGCTTGAATAGTTAAGGTATAAGCATGCGTGATGGAGATCAAAATAAAACTTATCTATACATCACAACATATGCTTGCATGATTTCAGCAAACTGATCGCTTGTTATAACTTAAGCCGACTTTTTTGATATTCGTTGATATATTTATATGACAGGTTGACAACAGCCTTACTTGGGCAGCACACTATCATTTATCGATTTATCAAGTACTGGGTTTGCAATTGGTCAGTATATGGTAGCCTTATCGAACATGAGCATACTTATCAAATGTTGGCCTTATTGCCGTGGATTATGCATGCGCCTATCTTTCGCAATTTAAGCAAATCAAAATCATGTCATTTTTCGACCATGCACCGTTAGCAGGTCCTCTCAAACCATCTAGCAATGGTGACATATGCGAGAAGTTTTGCTATTTTGTATCGGTTGGAATCATAACGACACCCAGCTTTGACATTCTGGCGACAATGCTATCCCTGACTTTATCAAAATGGGTCTTTAATTCAGCCGAACAAAATGCTACACCTCAAACAGAACAGGTTTATTGGAGGTTGAGTGCACTGCCATATCAGCTTATTCAGCATTAATGCAAGGAAGACCAGGAACAAGCAGAACAAAATAAACCAAAATCAAAGGAAACATTTGCCAAGGCGGAGCGTTAGAGCCGGTGAAGAACGTGCGAAACGAGCAAATACCGCAATTTTTATAGCGTCTTTGCGACCGTTCGTTATAAATCAAAAAGTACGTGTAGCAAATTCCTTGTACTATTTAATACTTTCTTTGTGTTTTACCCTCTGTTGCTTAGAAAGCCACGTCTTGCCGTGTGGAAAACTGACTAAAGAAGCACGAATGTAGCTTGCACCACTCCCAATTGCTAGGAAAAGCTAGAGGATCTCATAAAGAGCCAGTCCGGGTCGTTAATGATCGCAAGTTTGCAAATGTGATCCCAAAGTATAATGGTGCTCTTTCACTTCCGAAAAAGAGGCTTCTTCTCATCAGTCATTGACTGCATCTTTGCAATCCTTTTCCCCAGGGATGCTTGTCCCCTGACAGACGACAGCTTGAAGAGCATTTACAAAACTAGGTTTACTCCTCCGCCTGTGCGTTACCTCAAAAGTGCCGATATTTTCCGAACGAGATTTACTGCCCCAGATCCGAAGTCCGAAGCGACCCCAGCAAGCGGCCTCTTTGAGACCAGTTTTATACCGACGTCGTGCGTCAGTGATACATTTTCTACCGGATTCTACCCAAACGGCTTGGGGATGCCGTACCGACGCCTAGCGCAGGACTGTCGTAAGAAGGAGTACGCACAGGGATATACGCCCTTCTTCAACGCAGTCAGTCCGTCTGACGGGGCGTTCTGTTCTCCTGGAATCGTGCAGACATTCAAAAACTGGGTAAGCTAAGCACTCACCTTGAAATGTATGTGAACAGCGCGAGCTATTAGTGATTTTCTGCCATGCTCCTACTGGTTCTTGTTTGACGTATTTGCTACTGATTGCGTGACGGCTTAGGGCATAAGGCGAGCGTCCATATGTTGAGCAAGGTTCTAGCAGCATAGATTTATCAAAAGCCATCCATAACATGAAGGTGTCACAAACTTTATTTCACTCGCTCTAACTAGACTGATATTCACACACAAATTGAAGAGGTTGTAAAACCCTAAGACAATAATTAATAAAACATATGAATCAGTGGTGCAGAAATTATTTTGCTCCTGAAATGTCCATGCGGCTAGCTTTGAATGCATCGCAAACAGTAAGACATTAATTCAGTTGTGCAGCTGACAAAAACTGATCTCTAAAGTGCGATAATTAACGGTGTGGACAACGGTGCATGCAAAATGGTCTTGTGTTTTTTTATCTGGTCATAAATGGTCATTTCTAGAAGTACCTGTGGGCCTTCAAATGATCGGGAAAGATCTTCAGCCAGCTCTTATAGCTGCTATGACTGCTCAGGGATATGACTCCTGAAATACGTTACTCCTCACCTCGATTTGCCGTTTTTCATGACGACTTTTTCACGATTTCTGATGAAAGCCTGCTCTGAAGTGTTCATACCCGTCAGCGAGAGCCGTGTCAACCGCCCCCTGCCAGCTGACCTGACATGACACGGTATACCATGACTTGACCGTCACCCCCGCAGTACGGCAGTGGTGCAGCGCCACCGGCGCCCATCGTCGAGGAGCCGGACGACATCGACTGTAGCTGCAGCACGGGCTCGCTGCTGGCCAAGGCGACGGCGCTGCAGCGAAAGCTCATGTGCTCGCCCATCGCGCGAGCCCTGCTGGCGTTGGCCGCGTTGCGCGGCGTACTCTACATGCTGGGCATCAAGGTCTGCTTCGTCAAGATCGTCTGAGCCCGGGCGAGCTTTGCCGAGAGGCAAAGGCGGCTGTCCTGATTTGCTTCGCGACGACGAACGCGATGCGGCGTGAACCGGCGGTGAGCGACCGCAGCTCCGGCAGGTGACGCGCAGGTGCAAGGTGCTGCGATGCAGCTCATAGAGTCAGGGTGGAGAAATGCTGAGAAACGTTTTTGATACGTTTGTGCCGTTGTGTTTTAAAATGTCAGATAATTTGTGCCTCGAAATTCGAAATGTGGTAAAGGAAGATCTTGTGTGTTAAATGTGATCGGGGTCTATCCTGTTCAAGGAAGGATGACTTTCACACGTCAGCCGGATACCTGTGAATCGGTTCTCGCAATATCAAACATTATGTAACTGGGAAACCACTTGTCATCCAAAGGATACAAACTGTGACAAGCTGTCACACAAACTGTGGCTGGGATGGCTTGTAGTTCACAGGCCACCTCTCATTCACCTCCTCTGCTCCTGTAGCCACCGCCTCCGCCTCCACCGCCGCCATGACCACCACCTCCTCTGCTGCTGTAATCACTGCCTGCGGTTCCACCGTTATTGTAGCCACCGCCTTGCACATTGCCACCACTGTAGCCTCCTCGTCGTCCTCCTGAGAAGCCGCCTTTGCCGCTGCCTCCGTCGGCCAAACAGAGGCCAATCAACAGGATAAATACATGCAACCGGTAACTAGGCAAGATGAATGGAGTTTAAAAGATAAACCGATATCAAGTAGGGAACGTATATTCTCCAGCTCCTACGAAACATAATGCAGCTTGTAAGCCAAACATCACCTAGTTTATTATCCTGTGGAACAAGTTGTACCACATTCATGACATTACACATGACGCATGACGGTGCACAGAAAGCTCCATTACAATGGGAAGTGACCCGGCTGGCACCGCCTCCAGTTGAGCTGACCAGGTGCGGGCTCGACTGATCTGCCTCGCCGGCTGCGCCTTAACCTGGTGAGAGCGATGCTGGCGAACCGGGCCGCTGACGGCGCTGTGTGCCGCTGCCGAGCCGACCGGTGGCTATATACTCGGCGGCCGGAGAGAGGGCGCCACCCATGACGCGGCCGGTCGGGGCATGCGCCGTCACGGAGCCGCAGTGACCGCGACCTCGTGCAATCAGAGCACGGGACGGGCGACGGCCGGCCGGCGTGTGACCCGTGACAGCGATGGTCGTCGGCGTCAGAAGGAGGGGGAGACTGAGGTGCCGTCAAAACCCGATATAAGCTCGGGCACAGTGAGGAGGATCCGGCAGGTGCAAGCGGGCCGCCAGGTGTTGGTCTTGGCCGACCGGGCGCTGCTAAAGGTGCTGGGAGATTGCGGTGGAGCGCCGTGAGCAGAGAAGATCACTCGGCCCGTGTCGCAGGGTTTCAATATCGTCAAAAGTGTTATGGAGCCGTTTTGTTAACAAACGAGTGTTCGACACTCGCGGTGTGAACAGCGACAGCGCCTCTAGTGGCCTCCTTAGCAGATAACGGGCCCTCCTATCCCAGCCCTCACTTAAATTTCCATTCGCTTCGTGACTATTTTCTTCGAAACGAGCCAATCTTGTACGCATTACCTAATGAAGCGCCCTATAGGTTTGGCGAAACATTCGGTCTTTCTTATGGTAGCCTCTCGTGGGCTGGCCATGTTTGCTGTGTTTTTCGCGTGGGCTCCCATGTATCTGATGAGACCTCCTTTCGATCATCGGCCTCCTTCTTTCGACCAGTGGGGCTGGATTGGCCGTGTTTGCTGAGTTTTCACGTGGCCTCCCATGTATCTGATGAGGCAAATCTGGCTGATCTCTTGGCAAATGACAGGGAGTTGCTGCCAGTTCCGCCCGGCCTCTTATCAAAGCTCATCCCTGACCACTAGCTATTAATGACTCTCATGAAAAAGCGCCACTCGCACCACCAATGCTCGCCACTTCCCTCTCTCCTGTTCGACGGTCCTCGGCCAGGGACCACCTGCCGCCGTCCGGTTGTGGCTGAAAACGGGCGTAGGAGCTGGGCAGGATCTGAGCGTGTTTGGCTGACGTGATTCCATACAGTCATGATGCACCGCATCAGTCCTTCAACTCACCAGGTTGTCTGGCCAGTCTTCAGCACTTCTTGCCAGCCCTATCTTGGCCATCTAATGCGTGTGCTGCCGCCCCTGGCGGCCTGAATGTTCTGACTCGATCAACGGATGCCACACGTAAGTGTTAACGGAGTGGGTACTCAAGTAGCAGACCGCTAAGCTTGACTTCTGCTGAGCAAAGGTCTTCTGAGCGAAGGCCTTCTGGGCGTGGATCTTCCCAGGGTAGGGTGCCAGAGCGTAGGGATTCTGAAGCCAGTTCTTTCCACTCTGCACCATGGCAGTGCGCTATAAAGTTGTAAGCAACGAGGAGCGCAGTGGGGTGGTATGTGGAAGGCGCCGAAACGCACCCTGTTTCATTATCTGTAAGGTTCTAACATCGCCACAGTTTCATACCTTCGGGACAGTGGAAGAACAATTTTTTGGATCACATTTGCGAAAAAAGGAGGGACTCGGAGACCATTCCAGATCGCGACTTGCAGTTGTCTAGGGAAGAATGGTACAGAGATAAGTGTTTCTATTAAGCAGATATAAATTTTCCTCAAATGAATTTCACTGGACATACAACGACAAGAGTCTTTATGTCCATCAAGTTTTTTGATTCCCCAATTATAAGGAAGCGTAAATAAAAATGGTTCATCCAACTTGGTTCATTGAAATGCAAACTAATAGATAAGACAATAGTAATAGCATTATTCTTCGGATAAACACCAGGAGAATGGAGATATAGATGCGCTGATATTCCGGTAGGGTGGCTTTATCGAAACGATAGCAGAAGTGAACATGAATATTCACTGATAGCCATATAAATAACATACTAAATAGTGATAGAATAAAAAGAGAATAAAATAATGACAAATTTGCCTGAAATCCTAGCAGAAAATAATATAGATATTTTTTCTGATACTCGTTTCGATAACAGCATGTGGCCGAAACACCAAAGCATGTATATCTGCATTTTCCTGGTTTTACTACGAGGAATAAGGCTACTAATACTGTTTTGTCTACGTGAATCATATTCCTCGTAAATGCACCTACTAACTTACGAAATACAAACTCACATAATTCCTTCTCACGTGAATACAGTGTTAGCCAAGGCATAACAGTTCTAAGGGCCGCATGGATAAATTTGCTGTGGGCTGGAGTAGCTCAAAAAGCTTCTGCAAAAGCCCAAGTCAGCACCCCGCAGTCGCGCGAAATGTAAAATAATTTTGTCTTACTTGTGTACCTGAAATTTTGACTGAACTGTCTACGTGTTCCCACACATCTTAAAATGCATGCAACAACTTGATAGGGGAACCTGCCGCTGAAAATCGCTCGTGCGTACGCCTCCGAAATCCATCCATAAAGTTTCATTATTAAGTCATAGTGACGATGATGTTAATGCAGCCATTGAATGTGAAAGTGCCTTGGCCAGCCTTGCATGCGCATTTGGCGGGTGTGAAGGCGGGTTGACGCACTCCAACGTTGAGAAGTGCACCCGTCATCTCCGCTGTGGATACGGTCTGCTGAGCCTGTGGCCAGCTTTGAACTACATGAGAAAATCTACGGACTTGTGCCCACTGTGTTCCCGTAGACGTCCAGCATCGAGCAGCCGTGATCCGCTGTCTTGCGAATGTAGCGATGCTTTCATTTCGTGTTCACACCGAGTGGGGTATTCCTAAACCAAATCTCTGTCCCGGGTGTCCGTGAGCTTGAGTGAAAGTGAAAGAGTTCGCCTTGAGTGAAAGTGATTATTATATTTTAATGAACCCTGCGGTGGGCCCCAAGTTCACAACAGAGGTTTACTGGCCACTTTTCCTGACGCTGATTGTTGGCGTTGTTGGCCTCTGGCATATACTCTCTTACGCTGTCAGACACATCTCCGTCCACAGCGCTCGTTCCCCTCTCAGAAAACTCGAGGTACTCAGTTCCATTCTCATCACTTTGCATGACAGTCTTGCCCGAAAGCAGCGCCATTTGGTCTACCTCGTCACGTCTCGCAGGTCTCAATGTGATCAGGAACCAATGGGGCACGTGTAACGTCCCAGACAGCCAGTGGTCACTTTCCGCCTTCTACAATTACCCTCTGTGGTGATGTGTATCGTGCTGTTTGGGCGGTTTCTGTGCCAGCATTTGTTGGAATGATATTTTTTCGAAGTGGGAGAAAGGGTGGGGGGGGGGGGGGGCTGGTGGGCTTGTGTTAGCTTTGTGCAAAGATTGGGTCGGTATGAAGTATTGAATGGCAGTTATTATCCCGCATGCATCGTGCGATCAAGCTAAAGCCGCTGACATCAGATGTTGACTGTTGGTTGATGTTGATTGGCGTTGATTACTGTTGACAGATCAGATGTTAATTAGTTGCAGAATTCGCTGCAGATACTGCAGCCAGCCGGCTGTCGTAAAATATAGGCGCCACTTTAAAGCCCTCAGGCCCGCGCAGGGTGGATATAATAGCTAAAAATTGGTGTCTCCTCTCAAGTCCGCAACACTTGACGGCCAAACCCTCTCCTGTTTGGTCGGCATATGTCAGCTGCTGCGGATTAGCGGCACCACAATCGATCTTCCTTACACGTGCTTTGCGGGCCTGTATATTTTAAACTTGGCATCTCTAATCCGCAGCAGATCATGACTGCAATATCGGTCGCGGATTTGATCGCGGCCGCGACCTGCAAAGACGGCCGCGACCTGCATAGAAAGACTGGCCTTTAGGCCAGCAAGGACACCGTTGCTAAAATTTTGTTTTTCTCTCCTCTGCACAAAGACGAGCCAACAATCAATTTGTCTTGTTTTTCGCGCATTGGCTTTCGTCGCTCGCAATGAGGTTTTCGTATCATCTTCCGCTTTCTTAACAAAAGCATTCTTGTCGTCATGTGTAGCAACCAAGCCACGGCAGAACACGACTTGGCTTGCATATCTAGAACAGCTTAGAAGCATCGCACATGAAGCGAATCGAATCATTCAAGGTTTCCGGCATGTCTCAAACCACACAAAGTCATCATTGCATCGAAATATTGTGATTCGTGCTTTGCCCATCACAATGTCGCTCGTTGCCCGTCCCGATGGCACGGTCGGTCAGAGCTTTACCTTCCCATTCGCCCACGCATGGAGGAATCGATTCGTGTCGCTTTCAGGCCGCTATCGGCTCTTGCCTGAGATGGCCTGCGGACGGCGGCAGCGCCCGCACCAAAGGTCAGGTGACGTCAGAGGACAGGACAAGCGGTGTCGAGCACTGACTGCCGATGGAGCATTGACATTGCCGGGATGGACCGTGCCTTGATTGTGCAACGTCATCCTTTGATAGGGCAACAAGCAGCAGCTTGCTTTTCGAACTCGCACACACTCCTCACGATCACTTCCACGCGTCCAACAATATTTTTGGCCCAACTTTGGAGGTATGTGCATAATGTTCGCCATTGATAAGAAGACACCTTTACTGCAGGAGGAGCGTCAGGTTCGCCGAAATGCCTTCTTTAGCATCAGCATTAATGCTTATCGGAAAAATATGCCAAGTCGCCAGGCATATAAATATCGCACCAATTTATCGAAACTGACGGAAGCCAGGTACGCCGAACTTTCAACGACGTCCTTGACCTGTAAAAACGCTCAGGTCGGAATCTGTCGTTGCAATAGCTGATATTAAGTCTGTCAC